ATCATTACATCCGAGTTTGTCGGATCGATGTAGCACAACTGGTTATTGGACAGCTCACTTTTCGCATTTTCACTATGTAAAAGACTTCAAGGATTTGATTGTATTTCATGAGGCCCTATCACCAAAATTATGCATACGTATCTGTTTACATGAACAAACGTGGATTAGAATATTAGATCGTAAGTATTATCAGATTTTGTGAGATTCTACCTACAACATAATATTTTAGAATTTACGAAATATTGTTAGCATGTATTCGAATTATTGTTTTATTTGTCAGTGATTATCGAAATTGTTCAAAGGTATAAATTATTATTGGATGAAGGGTAAATACTTATTTTTTAAGGAATTTGCTTGTCAATTCTTAGAATTAAAAGTTATTACAAATTAAATTAAAATATTATAGTACATAAGTTGTAATGTTTTAATAATATCAACAATTGTGGCGCCAAGTTAAATTCTTTTAATTTAATATCACAAAATTTACTAAATCTAATGGTATATATGTTTCATCTGTATAAAAGATTTGATATCAACAATTGTGGTGCCAAGTTAAATTCTGTTAATTTAATTAAATTTATCAAAATTTTATGTATTATTCGTAAAAAATATTTGATAGCTAAATTAAATAATGAATATTAATCTAATATGTATTATTTGTACAAACGATTTGATATCAACAACTGTGGCGCCAAGTTAAATTCTACTACAAAATAAAAAAAAGTAAAACCTAAGTGATACTATCTTTATTATTTACTTAATCCAAATGGTACTATCTTTAATTTTTATACAATGAAACCTAAGTATACGTATACTTATTGAAGAATCTTCCTATTCCAATCCAAATGGTTTAAATTCCTCTTAAATGAAATTATCATATCACACTTCATTCAAAGACATTTCCTCTTCCAACTAAAGTAGTGGTTATTTAATCACAATTCATTCAAAGATTTTCTCTACCAACCAAAGTAGATCGAGTAAGAAAAACATACATATATTGTATATACACATATATACACATGCTAGATAAATAATTTGACTCTCATTGGGGATGCTTTTTATTTTTCTTATTTTTCTAGATATTCATATTTTTTAATATGATTCTGATATTTCTTATTCTAATAATATACTTCTTATTTATGTCATTTTTCTAAGTATTATATTCTTATTTTTATTTACATTCACATGTTTTACTACTATCCTATGTTATTATATCGAAATCTAGCAGCGCCAAGTGTTTTTACATGAAAAATTTTTCTATTTAAATTAAATTTTTTCATTTTATACGGTTAATTCTTTAAT